CAGTTATTTCAAACAGGACTTTCCAGCAATAAAACTCGCTGGCTGTTGCCACCAGTAATCACAGGTGTCACCAAGGTCTCAAATATAAAAAAGTACAATATTTTAGGTTGGTACAAATATGAGCGGATTGAGATGACATGGACCTTAACTGTGTATTCTTTTTTTAATTTAGGTTTTGGATAAAACATTCAGCATTTAGTGTTTCACCACCTTGTGCTCCCTCTCAATGTCAGAGTTGCCTTATTTCTGTAAAGATCTAAGCAGATTGATATCACTAGTCTCCTTTTCAGGCAATGCAGAACATTAACTGTATGTTTTGTTAAAGGCCTGTTTTGTGTTTGGGCAGGGAATGATTGATCACATGCGGAGAGGGGACAGAGGAGTAGGGACAGCCTAGTGATATAAATCACATCTGATAGAGGGCACATAGATAATTGGTTGTCTGGCCCTATAGTCACGAGGAGCGGCCCACTATCTTCTGGAGGGAGATAAACTAGAGGGCAGCAAACAATGATAACAACATGCTTGACTGTCAACAGATGAGATGCAAAATTACTCCCCTCCTCTCCCCCCCTCCCATCCGTTGTTCCTCTGTCCCTGTCTCTGCCCTCTTATTGTTCGGATGAGGAGTGGTGAGGTTAAGTGGATTGAAAATCAGTTGGCAGAATGTTTCTGTTTATTCTCTTGGTGCCCTATATCCAAAAGCATTTGAGCCGCAGCGGTCATCTGTGAATAGATTTACTGTGGGTGACCATGGTACAGCCTGATCGATACAAAGGCATCACCAAGGACTTCGAACAGGCGCAGTGACGTTCTATAAGATTCTGACTCTCACTTTCTCCCCCTCTCAAAAACACATCCCGTCCCCTTCTCTGTCCCCTTGTACTTTTCGGGAGGGGTGTCCGACTCACTCAGCAGTTTTAGCGATAAAAGAAATGTCCATGTTCATCTGACACACATTGAGCCAGTTTTGATTAAATAGCCGGACAATGCGCCAAATGTATTGCACTGTTGCCAGGGAGACCAAACTGACCTTGAGTGTAGCATTGTGTGTCAAGAGTTGCCAAGAAGATACTCAGTGCATGTTCCAGGGAGGGAAAGGACAACATATGCAACACTTCAAAGGAGAGGATGACTATTTGTTTGAAAGTGTGAAGATAGAGAGGAAAACGTGTCGCAAATCCCTGACAAGAACGAAAGGGTAAAAATAATACAGTTGAGTTTATCAATCAATCAATCAATCAATGTTTATTTATATAGCCCAATATCACAAATGTTACATTTGTCTCAGTGGACTTTACAATTTGTACAAAATATCAGTATGACAATACGACACCCTCTGTCCTTAGACCCTCACATCGTACAAGGAAAAACTTCCGAAGAAAACCCACAGTTTAAAGGGAAAAATGGGAGAAACCTCAGGGAGAGCAACAGAGGAGGGATCCCTCTCCCAGGACGGACAGACGTGCAATAGATGCCGTGTGTAAATTGAAAAGATAATACATTTGCAACATAGGTAGTCCAAATGTTTGGAAATGCATGTGTGTATAATAGGAAGATGAATCTACGAGGATATCCATCCAGGACCTATGATCCAGGACCACAGCCATGACTCAAGATCCAGGGCTCGCGATCCAGGACAGAGGAGCGCAGGATCATCCATGACTCCGGATCCCGGCGTATATAGACACCAAAAAGAAAGACATTTGGGGAAGCTGGGTTAATCGGAACATGAGAGTACACAGGTATAGACAGAGAGAAGGAAGAAGTAAGATGTCCCCTGACAAACTAAGTCTATATCAGCAAAACTAGGGGCTGAATCTAATCAGCCCTAACTATAAGCTTTAACAAAAAGGAAGGTCTTAAGCGCACTCTTAAAAACGAATAGGGTGTCTGCCGCCCGAACACAAACTGGAAGCTGATTCCACAAATGTGGAGCTTGATAAGAAAAGGCTCTGGCTCCCATTGTACTTTTAGAGACTCTAGGAACAACCAACAACCCTGCATTCTTGGAACGCAATGCCCTAGTAGGACAGTAGGGTATAATGAGTTCTTTAAGGTAAGATGGCGCCTGCCCATTAAGGGCTTTGTAGGCGAGAAGAAGAATTTTAAATTCTATCCTGTGTTCTATAGGGAGCCAGTGTAAGGCAGCCAGAACAGGAGTAATGTGGTCCCTTTTCCTAACTCTGGTTAGTACGCGAGCCGCAGCATTTTGAATCAGCTGAAGCGACTTGACTGAATTCTTGGTACACCCTGATAATAAAGAGTTACAATAATCCAGCCTTGAAGTAACAAATGCATGGACTAGTTTCTCTGCATCGTTTTGAGGCAAGATATGCATGATTTTTGCAATGTTACGTAGATGGAAGTAGGCGGTCCTTGAAATTGATTTTATGTGGGCGTTAAAGGATAAATCCTGATCAAATATAACACCAAGATTCCTTACAGTCTCACTGGAGGCCAAATTAATGCCATCCATAGTTAGTATATCCTTAGATAATTTGTTTCGTAGATTCTTCTGGCCAAGTACAATAACTTCAGTTTTGGTCGTGTTTAACATCAAAAAGTTTAAGGTCATCCACGTTTTTAAGTCCTTAAGGCAGTCTTGAATTGTATTTAGATGATTAATTTCATCAGGCTTGATTGATAAATATAGTTGAGTATCATCCGCATAACAATGAAAGTTTACAGAATGATTCCTTATAATATTGCCTAACGGAAGCATATATAATGTGAACAAAATAGGTCCGAGCACTGAGCCCTGTGGCACTCCATGGCTAACTTTGGTTTGCGTGGAAGATTCATCATTGACACGTACAAACTGAGAGCGTTCAGATAGATAGGACCTAAACCAGTCTAAAGCAGTTCCCTGTATGCCAACTAAGTGCTCTAGTCTTTGCAATAAGATATCATGGTCGATAGTATCAAATGCAGCACTGAGATCGAGCAAAACAAGAATAGAGACACGTCCCTTGTCAGAGGCTATTAGAATGTCATTTGTGACTTTAACCAGAGCTGTCTCTGTGCTATGATGTGTTCTAAAGCCAGACTGAAAAGCTTCAAATAAATCATTGTTTTTTAAGTAATCACACAACTGTTTTGCGACCGCTTTCTCAAGAATTTTTGAGAGGAACGGAAGATTGGAAATAGGTCTATAATTGGCTAAAACCTCTGGATCGAGGTTGTGCTTTTTAAGAAGCGGTTTTATCACTGCTACTTTGAATGATTGTGGAACATAGCCTGATAATAAAGACATATTCATAATATTTAATAAATAAGTGCTAATTAATGGAAAAACTTCCTTCAACAGCTTAGTTGGAATTGGGTCTAACATGCACGTTGATGGTTTAGAAGAGAGAATCATTGAATTTAATTGTTCAAGGTTTATGGCTGAAAAGCATTCTAGTTTACTATCTAGTGTAATATTAGAACTTACGTTTCCGGGAGCTGTTGATAACACTTTACTGGTCAAAGGCAAGAGGTCATTAATTTTGTTTCTAAGAGTAACAATTTTATCGTTAAAAAAGCACATAAAATCATTACTACTGAGTGCTATGGGAATAGAAGGCTCAATCGAGCTATGGCTCTCTGTCAGCCTGGCTACAGTGCTGAAAAGAAATCTTGCATTATTCTTATTCTCATCTATTAATGAAGAGTAGTAGGCTGCTCTCGCTTTACGCAGTGCTTTCTTATATTCATTGAGAGTAATATGCCAAATTAAACGAGATTCTTCATGTGGTAACCGTGACTGAGGTTGCCACATGTAAAGCTAGTACTTGACAACGCCACCTCCTGCTAAGGGGCAGGAGGAACCCGTGGACCCTAAATGTAAGTCGTGGATCGCTTTGTTTAAAGCTTCCCTTAATCGGTCCAATTATGACAGAGGCATGAATTCCAAAAACATAACACAGCTTTATTTAATAAGTGTTTGGAAACAGTTTAAAATGTCGATTCATGTCCAGTATAAAAATGGCAAATACAATTCAATTCAATACATAAATAAGTTGCTTAAAAACACAATTAAAAACGTCGGTTTAAAAACGCCATTTAAAAGCAAATTACTCATAACAGACCCGGTCTTGTGCCTGTCGGGAGAGTTTTCCTCCGTCAATGGTAAACTCTCGTCTTGCACTCGCCCTAATAAAACCAAACTAAATGAGCCACTTGCATAAGTTAATTTAAAAGAACATAAAACCACCTTAAAACGGTTATTCCTACCTTTGTGAGAGGGAGAAGACCAGTGACAAGCAGCCAAGAGAGACTTTCTTGAACTGACGGCAAACTTTTTATGGCTTCCTGTTTACTCGGTCACCGGTCATGTGACCGCATCAGGTGACAATGACGTCAGATTCCCACATTCACCCCATCAAAAAGTGTCGTCGCCCCGACGACAAGTTACTCACAACCAGGGTCTAAACAAGTGGGCATTAACCATTTCAGGCACCCAGGGAGCAGCCGCCCTCACCACACCCATTGCGTTGTTGCTAGTCACTGTGGACCTTGGAAGGTTATGTGGATTTAGGTTTCTTCCAGCAGTAGCCCGGGTTGTTCTTCTGGGAGCTGACGCCTCTCTTTGGGATGGTAGTGCCTCCTGCCTACCAGGGAGTATGATTGAATCGCCATTGACTGCACCTTGGGTGCTGGATGTTCGGTTGGGGAAGGGCTGTGGGACATCCTGTGGAGTTGAATCAGGGTTTTGAGGGAGTCTTCTTTTACTTCTCCAACCCAGGATCTCTTCATCTTCACTACTGCCGGAGTCACTGGCAGGGATGTCTTGGTTGCTGGACGACAGACATGGGTTAAGTGTCATTGGTGCAGATGGTAGAATTTCAAGATGCGCTGCCCTCATCTCGGCCCTATGCACCTGCCGAACATCAGCAGTGCCATCAGCTCTGGTAATGGTGTACGGCCCACCAGACTCAGTGGGCACATAACCACCAGATAAATAACTGGTGACCAGACATCCTGGATCTTGCGACGACCTTTACATTGATGATCCTTCAAGTAGACCAGCTGTCCTTCTGTAAAACCTGCATCGCGTGTCTGCTGGTTGTGATGTTGCTGTCGGTAGTCTGCTGCCTGTTGTAGGTTCTTTCGTGCACGTCTCTTGCTACTTGTAGCCGTTCCCGATGCTGCTGGACCCACTCATCCCAGGAGCTGGTTGTGTCTTCTGGGGTACCTTCTCCCAAGAGAAAATCTGCAGGGACCCGTGGTGGCACACCAAACATTAAGCTATAAGGGGTATTCCCAGTCGAGCGATGTGCTGAGGTGTTGTATGCCCACACTAGCTGGGAGATGTACTTTGGCCATACACGCTTCTTCTCCGGGGGAAGAGATCGGAGCAGGTCGTGAAGTGTCCGGTTGAATCTCTCACATTGGCCATTTCCCTGTGGATGGTATGGCGTAGTCCTGGACTTCTCAATCCCATATAACTGGCAAACCTGCCGGATGAGGGCACTCTCAAAGTTTCTCCCCTGATCAGAGTGTATTCTCTTTGGTACGCCGAACCGGTTGAACCAGCTGTCGACTAGGACTTTCGCTACCGTGAGAGCAGTCTGGTCCTTAGTTGGCACCGCCTGCGTGTATTTCGAGAACACGTCGGTCATGACCAGCACATTCTCTTTACCGTCAGTTGCAGGCTCCAGCAAGGTGAAATCTATGGCCAGTATCTCCATTGGTTGGGTGGCCAACAGAGTACCCTGGTAGGTCTTCACCCCAGGCTGGACAGCTTTCGACAATACACAGCGTTGGCAACTCCGACAGTGGTTCTCTACATCAGCCCCCATACCAGGCCAGTAACATCTCTGCCTGGCCAGGTCAGTGGTCCGTCGCACCCCCTGGTGTCCATGTTTGTCGTGGAGGTTATTTAAAAGTTCTTCGTGCAGGCACATGGGCAGAAGCAGTTGTGCATAGACTTCCCCATGAGGGGCTGTGACCTGCCTATACAGTACACCCTCTTTTTCCAGAATGCGATCCCATTGCTGGACAAGACGCTTGACATCCTTTGAGAGTAGTAACCTCTCTTCCATATTTGGTGGCTTTCCTCTTTTCCAGAATGAAAGAAAGACTTCAATGGTGAGGTCAGCATCTTGCAGTGTAGCCAGATCGTCTGGTGATCTGCTTGGGAAGACTCCGATTTTCTGCTGTGCCACTACCACAGGTTTCTCGACGTCAGGCGAAATATTTGAGGAGGTGTTGGCATGTTGGTTCGGCTGCTCTTGAGGCACATCCTGGTCACTGTACTGGCGAGAGAGAGAGTCAGCATTTCCATTGTTTCTTCCAGGTTTGTAATGCACAGTGAAGTCAAAAGCTGCTAATTGAGCTGCCCATCTTTGCTCAGTGGCCCCCAGCTTAATGTTCTGAAAATGGCTTAGGGGATTGTTATCAGTGTACACTGTGCACTTACTGCCCAACAAATATTCCCTGAATTTATCTGATATTGCCCACTTCAGTGCCAGGAACTCTAGTTTCATAGAGCTATAGTTCTCCATGTTGCGCTCTGAACCCCTCAGTGAACGACTTGCATAGGCCACTGGTCTTAATTTGCCCTGGTGGTCTTGTGACAGTACAGCTCCTAATCCCTGATGACTAGCATCCACCTCAAGGACAAAAGGTTTTGTGAAGTCGGCAAAGGCTAAGATGGGTGTACTAGTAAACATCCTCTTCAATTCACTGAAACTGTGATTGCATTCCTCCGTCCACATGGTAGGCAGTATAACTGCTGGCCTTTTTCTGCTTTCTTTGGCTACTCTGATGACATTTGCCACCAGTTGATGTAGGGGCGCAGCCAATTGTGCAAACCCCTTTACAAAGCGACGGTAATAGCTGCAGAACCCAAGGAAAGATCTTACTTCAGTCACATCTCGGGGTACCCTCCAGTTTTCCACGGCAGAAATCTTGTCTGGATCAGTTGCCACTCCTTCACTGGACACCCGGTGTCCAAGGTACTGCACCTCTTTCTGAAAGAAGTGGCATTTGCTCATTTTGGCCTTCAGGCCTTTCATTTGGAATCTGCTGAGGACCATCTCCAACCGCTGCAGATGCTGTTCTATGGAGGTAGAGAAAACAATGACATCATCCAGATAGAGAAGGACTGACTGAAGGCTCTGGTCACCAAATATTCTTTCCATAAGTCTCTGAAAAGTCCCAGGAGCATTACACAAGCCAAAAGGCATTCTCTCAAACTCAAACAGTCCAAAAGGCGTACAAAAGGCTGTCTTGGCTCTATCCTTCTCAGCGACAGGGACCTGATTGTAGCCACTTGCCAGATCTAATGTGGAGAACCATTGAGCGCCAGCAAGACCATCCAGAGTTTCCTCGATGCGGGGTAGTGGGTAGGCATCTTTCCGAGTTTTAGCATTGAGTTGCCGGTAATCCACACACATCCTAATCTCTCCAGTCTTCTTGCGCACCAACACAATGGGGTAAGCATAACTGCTCTCCCGGATGACTTTACTATCAAGCAGCTGCTTAATGTGATCCTTAACTGCCTGCCACTGCGTAGGGGGAATTCGTCTATATCTTTGGCGGACAGGGACCTCATCAAGAAGTGGAATATCCTGTACAATCTCATCAGTACACCCTAGGTCTCCCTCATGTTTAGCGAAGACTTGACTATACTTCCCTATCAGCTCCCTTGCCTGCATTTATTCTGCAGGTGAAAGCCCTGGCCAACGTAAGGCTGAAATAGTTTCAGAAATGGTAACTGGGGCCTCTGCAACAACCTGTGCGCTGACTACCGTCACGACTTCCTCCACTTCACCCTCCACATGTTCCTCCTCAAAACTCAGTTCTGACCCCTCAATCCCCTCAACAAAATGCAATGTACCCAACACCTGTTTAAAGTGGACTGCAGCTCCGGTGGCTCCCACATTAACCACCGGCACAAAAGCAACATCGTTTTCGACTGTCACTAGGGAAGGGGACAAAAGCAGGCTTGGAGCAAGATCTGAGCCCCCAGGCTCTAAAAGCATGGTGGTGGGCGGAGCGTATGGAATTTTTGGGCAGGTCACTTGCACAAACTTTACTGATCCAGCGGGTATAAACTCCCCAGTCCTGCTGAGGACACGAACACTACCCCCCGGAACTAGTGAGCAGGCCTCGAGTCTGTGACAGTAGCGGAGAGCTGGCCCCCAGCCTGTCTCTGCCTGGATGGCAGACAAAGAGGCAGACAAAGAGGAAAACAATGCGTCCCCTTGTTGGGCAAATAGCTCTCTGTTGCATTCTGTGATTACATTCATCCCCAAAAGCCCTGGCACATTGTGTTGCTGTAAGGCAGAAGCAGTGTCTTTCAACACCAAGACCCCACGACTTGGAATCTTTTTACCCAACACCTGGATATCCAACTCAAGATATCCAACATAGGGAATCTCTAGGCCGTTGGCAGCCTTCAAAGCTAACCACCCGCATGTTTTAAGTTTAGGGGCATCCCAGTGTTGAAACACCTTTTTAAAGAGTGACTCTGTTATGGTTGTGACCATAGAACCTGTGTCCAGCAAACACTTTACCTTTACACCACCCATCTGTACCTCTACCACAGGACATTTACCTATGAGGGGTCGCAGGTTGTTTGCAAGGGGAGGGGCCTGCTTAGGGTGACCATCATAAACAATGTGATCATTAGCGATTGATTCTTCTGCAAAACCCATACCTGACGATATTACAGCAGCTGGAGCCGGGCTGCATTCTGGCCGGTCACTGGGTATGCTGGATGCTTGTGGCCTCTGACCCTGGCGACACTGGCGGAGGACATGCCCAGGCTTCCGACAGCGGAGGCAAATGGGTTGCCCATCTGCAGTAAACTGGTAGTTGGGCTTATTGACACGAGAAACAGATTGGTCAAGTACAGTTTCCATCTTAGACAGACCTTTTATAATGCTTTCAATTTGCAACTGCTGTTTCTTAAATAGTTCTTGCAAAGAAACCAGATCGGGTCCAGCCCCAACAGCATGGCAAGCTCCACCTAAATTTACATCTGCCCCACATTGATGTAGGCCAGCTCGAGCATGTCCTGCAGGCCTCTCACCCTCTTCAGCCCACCTGATTCCCTCCTGACGCAGTGATAAAAAAGAAATTTCCGGACGTTGCCTTATGAGACTCTTTAACTCGCGACGCAAGGCCATATCCCGCACATACTCCACAAACTGGTCCCTAGCCAGAATATCTGGCTCCATCAACCTATTTGGATATGCACGTTTGATAGTCTCAATCATTTCCCACAAAGAATGGGAGAATTCCTTTAAAGACTCTCCCTCTCTTTGTTTTCGATCAAAAAACTGTTTTTGCAGGCTTACAAAGGAGGAGGAGGAACCATACAGCTCTTTCAGAATGACTAAAATTGTATCAGGATTTTCCCTTTCCACCAAAGTACGAAATCTGATTTCAGTTTTTGCTTCCCCCTCCAAATGATCATAAAGAAAGAGGGCCTTCTCTCTGGCAGTCATGTGCCTGTCTCTCAAACATGACTGCAACTGTTCTATCCAATCATATATGGACATGTCAAGCTTAGAGCTGGAGCCTGAAAAGTAGGGACATTTTCTCTCTCTTTGTATGTACACAAAACGCTCAACTTGGGGTGTAGACAAGTTGGGTGATGCTACATTACCGCTCGGAGGTAAGCCACCTGTATTTGCACTGGTAGTAGCTGCATCTGAACTGGCACCTCTTTCTTGGAGTAGATGCTCATTCGCCACACGCAGTCTCTGTACCTCTTCACGCAGAGCAAACAGTTCCCCCACCTCTTGATCAACACTCATTTTTGTAGGTTGGTTAATAACTTTGCAAAAAAATGAGAAACAAGTGTTCGAGATATATGCAATACAGTTAAACAGCAATGGGGTCACATTTGTTAACAATGGCCTTTGGTTTCCATTACAGGTTCATCCAAGTCCAAGGGCCTTCGTCCCGTTGTCCAGCGCCAGCCACTGTCTATTTCAATAAACAAAACAAACCAAAGAAACCAAAAATACAGGAATTCATGCCTCTTTTAAGTCAATCCTGCCGACAACGCCAAAATGTGGTAACCGTGACTGAGGTTGCCACATGTAAAGCTAGTACTTGACAACGCCACCTCCTGCTAAGGGGCAGGAGGAACCCGTGGACCCTAAATGTAAGTCGTGGATCGCTTTGTTTAAAGCTTCCCTTAATCGGTCCAATTATGACAGAGGCATGAATTCCAAAAACATAACACAGCTTTATTTAATAAGTGTTTGGAAACAGTTTAAAATGTCGATTCATGTCCAGTATAAAAATGGCAAATACAATTCAATACATATATAAGTTGCTTATAAACACAATTAAAAACGTCGGTTTAAAAACGCCATTTAAAAGCAAATTACTCATAACAGACCCGGTCTTGTGCCTGTCGGGAGAGTTTTCCTCCGTCAATGGTAAACTCTCGTCTTGCACTCGCTCTAATAAAACCAAACTAAATGAGCCACTTGCATAAGTTAATTTAAAAGAACATAAAACCACCTTAAAACTGTTATTCCTACCTTTGTGAGAGGGAGAAGACCAGTGACAAGCAGCCAAGAGAGACTTTCTTGAACTGACGGCAAACTTTTTATGGCTTCCTGTTTACTCGGTCACCGGTCATGTGACCGCATCAGGTGACAATGACGTCAGATTCCCACATTCAAGTTTAGTGGAACGCCATATCCTTTCAAGTTGTCTCGACTTTTGCTTTATTTTGCGGGTTTCGGCATTATGCCATGGAGCTAATCTATGTTGTTTTATTTTCTTCTTTTTCAAAGGAGCAACAGAGTCTAATTTTATTCGCAGCGCATCTGTAGCACTATCAACAACATGATCAATTTGGGGTGGTGTACATTTTGTATAAGTTTCCTCCCTTACATGCAGACATGCTATCGAGTTAAGTATTGGTGGAATCTCTTCCTTAAATTTGGCTATAGCACTAACAGATAGGTTTCTGCTGCAGGAGCTTTTGACTAATGCTTTGTAGTCTCGTAACAGTACTTCAAAAGTTACTAAGAAATGGTCGGATAAAGCAGGATTATGCGGTTCGACTAATAGTTGCTCAATTTCAATACCATAAGTCAGAACAAGGTCGAGAGTGTGATTATAGCAGTGGGTTGGTTTATTTACACTCTGACAAAAACCAACAGAATCTAATATAGAGTTAAATGCAACAGTAAGGCTATTTGTATCATCGTCAACATGAATATTAAAGTCACCTACGATAATTACTTTATCTGTTTTAAGAACCAAAGTTGATAAAAACTCAGAGAATTCAGATAAGAATTCTGAATAAGGACCTGGTGCACGGTACACTGTAACAAATAAGATTGGCTGCAAAGTTTTCCAGGTCGGATGCGTAAGACTAAAAACGAGACTTTCAAAGGAGGTCCATCCATCCATCTTCTCCCGCTTATCCGTGGTCGGGTCGCGGGGGTAGCAGTTCCAGCAGAGAGCCCCAAACTTTATTTTCCCTGGCGACATCAACCAGCTCTGACTGGGGGATCCCAAGGCGCTCCCAGGCCAGCGAAGAGATATAATCCCTCCACCTGGTCCTAGGTCTACCCCTTGGTCTCTTCCCAGCTGGACGTGCCTGGAACACCTCCCTAGGGAGGCGCCCAGGTGGCATCCTAACTAGGTGCCCGAACCACCTCAACTGGCTCCTTTCGATGCGAAGGAGGAGCGGCTCAACTCCGAGTCCCTCCCTGATGACCGAACTTCTCACCTTATCCCTAAGGGAGACACCAGCCACCCTGCGGAGAAAACCCATCTCGGCCGCTTGTATCCGCGATCTCGTTCTTTCGGTCATGACCCATCCTTCATGACCATAGGTGAGGGTAGGAACGAAAATGGCCCGGAAGACCGAGAGCTTTGCCTTCTGGCTCAGCTCCCTTTTCGTCACAACGGTGCGGTAAAGCGACTGCAGTACCGCTCCCGCTGCTCCGATTCTCCGACCCATCTCACGCTGCATTGTTCCCTCACTCGAGAACAAGACCCCGAGATACTTGAACTCCTTCACTTGGGGTAAGGACTCATTCCCTACTTGGAGTGGACAATCCATCGGTTTCCTGCTGAGAACCATGGCCTCAGATTTGGAGGTGCTGATCCTCATCCCAGCCGCTTCACACTCGGTTGCGAACCGATCCAGTGAGTGCTGAAGGTCGCAGACCGATGAAGCCATTAGAACCACATCATCTGCAAAAAGCAGTGGTGCAATCCTTAGTCCACCGAACTGCAGACCCCCTCCCCCATGACTACGCCTCGAAATCCGATCCATGTATATTACAAACAGAATTGGTGACAAAGCGCAGCCCTGGCGGAGGCCAACCCTCACCGGAAATGGGTCCGACTTAATGCCGAGGACCCGGACACAGCTCTCGCTTTGGGAGTACAGAGATTGGATGGCCCTGAGTAGAGACCCCCTCACCCCATACTCCCGCAGCACCTCCCACAGTAACTCCCTGGGAACTCGGTCATACGCCTTCTCCAAGTCTACAAAACACATGTAGACCGGATAAGCGTACTCCCAGGCCCCCTCCAGGATCCTTGCGAGATTAAAAAGCTGATCCGTCGTTCCACGACCAGGACGGAATCCGCATTGTTCCTCCTCAATCTGAGGTTCGACAATCGGCCTGACCCTCCTTTCGAGTACCTTAGAGTAAACTTTCCCGGGGAGGCTGAGTAGTGTGATGCCTCTGTAATTGGCACACACCCTCTGATCCCCCTTTTTAAAAAGGGGAACCACCACCCCGGTCTGCCACTCCTTCGGTACTGTTTCTTTCAAAGGAGGTATAATTTAATTTTGGTTTAGTATTGATAAGTAAACTTGAGTCAAAGATTGCTGCAACTCCACCTCCCCGGCCCGTGCCTCGGGCAATATGAGTATTGATATGGCTGGGTGGAGTGGCCTCATTTATGCTGACATATTCTTCATGTCTCAACCAAGTTTCAGTGAGACAGCATATATCAATATTATAATCTGATATTAAATCATTTACCAATATTGCTTTAGATGCTAGAGATCTTATGTTTAAGAGACCACATTTAATATTCCTGTTTTGTTGCACTGTATTAGTTGTTACATTTACTTTTATTAGGTTATTATGTATGACACCTCTATTAGGTTTTACCTTAACTTGTCCTTGGGCAGACACACACACCGCTAATATTGGGTATTTTATTGGGTTCGGGATTCCTATGGATGACTGCCTAGGAGAGAGCGCAGAGAAGCGTGTAAGACTGCGACTCCGCCTCCTGGTCTCAACTCCAGTTTGTCATGGATTAAGTCCACAAAGCCCTGAAATGTTTGCCGAAATGAGATCTGCACCTTCCAAAGTAGGATGAATGCCGTCTCTCTTAATCAGACCAGGTTTTCCCCAGAAGGCTGTCCAATTATTTACGAAGCCCACATTGTTTGCTGGGCACCACCAAGACAACCAGCGCTGAAATGATGACATGCGGCTATACATGTCATCATTGATCAGATTGGGGAGGGGACCAGAGAAGATTACGGTGTCCGACATTGTTTTAGCATAACTACACACCGACTCCACATTACGTTTGGTGCATTCTGATCGGCGTATACGAACATCATTACCACCGACGTGAATAACAATCCTACTGTATTTACGTTTATTTTTAGCCAGCAGTTTAAGATGCGCCTCAACGTCGCCCGCTCTGGCCCCCGGAATGCATGTGACTGTGGAGGCTTCGGTCTCTAATTTCACGTGTCTCATAATAGAGCTACCAATAACCAGAGTTGGCTTCTCAGCGGGTGTCTCGCTGAGTGGGGAATATCTGTTAGATACGTGAACGGGTTGGTGGGGACCTGCGGGTTTCGCGTTATGCCCCTTCTGAACAGTCACCCAGTCTCCCTGCTGCT